ATTTTTTTTTTTTTTTTTTTTTTTTTTTTTTAATGAACTCAGGACCTTGAGCTTGCAAGGCAGGTGATAGAACCACTGAGCTGAATCCCTGGCCTTTCCAGATTATCTTTTTATTTTTTTTCCTTCCAGATATCTTGATGACTGATATCTTTGTGATGAATTATGGTTTAAGAGGCCTAAATCTTATTTTAATTCTTAAAATGAGTATTTAAAAACATGCAAATATGTGATTAGAGAATAATATTCAATAGAGAGATTTTGGAAGCTAAGGACCAAGGAAGACAGAAATCACCTACACTCATTGCTATATGTTAATCTGTTTTTTCTAGTCTTTTTTCCAAGCACATATATTACATACGCAGTCAATTCTTGTTATTCTTGGTAGTTATATTCTAAAAAGTTGCTGTGAAGACTGCATGAGCCAATACTGAACCAATGCTCCTAGGTGAAATACAGGATTAGGCTCCTGACAGCTTTTAAATTACAACATTTTCATCAACATATTAATGCAAAACCTTGTTTTATGTGTGTTTTTATTTAAAGGCACCTTACTTGACATATATTGTTGATCCATTAACATTCAACTCATGGCTGCCAGGGATTTAGCTCAGTGGTTCTGCTGCCTTCCTAGCAAGCACAAGAACCTGAATTCCATCTCTGGTACCCTCCCCAAAAAAATTATCACCATCAACTCATGGCTGATAGCACTAAGAGTCATGCTGAAATAAAACTCATCCAGTACACCTCTTTCTGTAAGCCTTCTTGCTCTAAAGAACACTAGACAGCACCATCAGCCCTATGCTTAGGGCAAGATCACCAGAAAAAGCACAAAAATGGCACAAGAAGGCCCAAAACATTAAGAAGAAGAAAAAAAAAAGGCACAAAAGTGTCTATAATAATGAGATTTATGAGGAGAAGGCAAGGAGTTGCTTTGTTTAACCTCAGCCAGAATATGCTTTGGGTGACTCAGATTTTTTGCCAATCTGCCAGTGTCTGAGAATAACTTCAAACTGAGTATTGATTTTGGGGTTACAAGTAAATTTCAGCAAGCAGATAAATTTGCAAATATGGAATGTGCAGGTGAGGATCAACTGTGTTATGTATATATGTGGTATCCTCTATTGTATGTTTGTAAACATGTTTCCTTTACAAAATTTGGATTATACTAAAAATTCAAAAATTTCATTAGTTTATTCCGTATAACAACATATTCTTTGGAAAAATGTCTGTCATCCAAATATTACTTATTTCTAATGTTTCTGCTATTATACATAACATACTTGTAACATCTCTGATTATTTTCCTTCAATTAAGAGTAGATATATTTTGGGTCAGGGATTTAGCTCAGTGGTTCTGCCGCCTGCCTCACAAGGTCAAGGTCCTGAGTTCGATCCCAGGTACCAAAAAAAAAAAAAAAAAAAAAAGAGAAA